ATCATAAGCACTGGATCATAAGCTTTCTCTAAAAATAATGTATTAATAGACCCCTTTTACTGAGAAGACCTAACTTTATGCCGGACACTGAGCTAGATGCTTTGTGTTGATTCGCTCAGTTCGTTTTCCCAGCAACCCACAGGTTATGGTTATTCTGTTAGTTTTCCCTGTTAATCAGTCAAGGAAGTTGGGGTGCACCTGCCCTGGAAGTGAAACCTAGGTTTTTTCCAACTCTGAAACTAGAGTGCTCTGAGTCATTAAACTAGACTGCCTGCCCCATTGATGAGCAGCCATTCACTCATTCAGCTGATATTTATTGAGGGCCTAAGATGGGCCAGGTATTAGCCTAGGAATAGGCCAGATGCCCAAAACAAGAGATGCCCCCGCCTTCCAGAAGCTCAGTCTATCCCAGGGAGAGAACAGCCAGATCTGGTTTGATCTTTGGGGCTGGCAAGCTATGGGATTTAGGGCAAATCTGTTCTATTCTCTTAACTTCAGATGTCATATCTGTCAATCGAGGCAGCTGGATTTAGACAAGTGGTTTTTCCAGGTTTACTGTGAATCAGAATCACTTGGGGAATGTGTTTAAAAACATATTTTGGCTTTCCACCCCCCAGGCACTTTGATTTAATAGGTTCAAGGTGGGGCCAGGAAGTTACATCTATAATGAGGGCCCAGGGCTCCCAAAAACCACCCTTTGAGAAATACCGATTTGGCTGTAAACCCCATTAACACTTATACAGGATCTGTGTTGTCATGCCTGCATCCCCAGTTCCTAGCACAGTGCCTGGAATGGGGTAGGTCTTGATAAACATTTGGTGATAAGTTTGGATGATCTATCTATGGGGTTTCCATGGATGGACCTCAGAAGTCCTGAACCACCTGAAATACCACTTTTTGTTAAGGTTTGTGGGTAGGATTCGAAGGGTCCTTTGGGCACTGAAAGCTCTGTGATTTTAGGATTGAAACCTAAATTTTCTCCTACCAAAAGCTCAGACCTTTAATTGGAAAGCTTTTTAACCCATGTAGCAAAATTTGAGTTCTGTATCAAGGTGATTTGATGAGATGTCAGTTTACAGTAGATTCTTAAAATCCTAAAGGAGTTAATGTCCACATTTTATGTGTAGATTCTGGAAGTGTTCAGGATACATTCTGTTTTTGTGATTTTTCTCAATTCCTCTGAAAGTACCTATTGAGTTGGTAGTGCTATCTCCATTTTCCAGGTGGGAAGACTAGGGCACTTGTGACTCATGTAGCTTGTCCAAGGTCACACTGCAAGGGCTCTCTTCGCTGAAAACTAGCCTGGGAATCAAAGAACATGGCTTCTATCCTCTTGCCTGCTTATGTGGCCTTGGTTGGGTAGCTTGGCCTCTTTGGGCCTCAGCTTCCCCAACTGTAAGATGGGAGAGGAGTGGACTAATAGATTCTGAGCAGCTGTTTAGCTTGGATATTTGAGGTTCCTCTATAACTATGTGCTTAGACATGCAGAACTCCCTGTGTTTGCAGGCTCTGACATCCTATTAGTTTAGGGAGATGGAAGGACTATTGAAACCACCTAAACAACATAAATCTCTGTAGAACATTCCAGAGGGTCAAATATCATGAAAGCAAAGGCAATGCAGGTGGTAGAAGCTGAGGGTGTGAAACTCCCAGAATTTTAGAACCTTAATTCTCTACCCTGTCAGTTCAGCAATTCACTGTCCATTCTGAGAAGATTCAAGGAGTCTCCTTCCATGAGGTCACAACTGTGATATTCAGTCCCGTGCCCCATTCCCAGTATCGTGGGAAGACTTTCATGAGCAAATGGAGGAAGCAAAGCCCTTCATGGGATTTTAGACTCTTGAAATTGTCCTTTAAGGGTCACCTGACCCTTAACAATAGGAAATCTCCCTTTTTTTTCCCCACACTGGAAATTAAAAAAACAAAGCAAAACAAAATAAAACCTCAAAAGCCACCAGCTTGTTTTTGCCAGCGACCATACCTAAGGTTTTTGTGACCTTTGATGGTAACTATCTGTTCAACTTAGATACTAGAGCCCAGGTTTGGTCTGACCAGCACCCAAGCAGGCAGGATTATGGACTTCTTCATTCTAGACCAGTAGTTCTCAAACCTGAGTGTGCATCAGAATCTCTTGGAGGACTTGTTAAAATACCAATTGTAGGGCCTCATCCCCAGAGTTTCTGCCTTAGGAGGACTGGGGCAGGGCCCAGGAATTAACATTTCTTTTTTTTTTTTAAGATTTTATTTATTTATTTATTTATTTGAGAGCGAGACAGAGCACATGAGTGGAGAGAGGGCGAAGCAGACCCCGTGGAGCGGGGAGCCCGAGCTCAGGGGCCAATCCCAGGACCCTGAGATCATGACCTGAGCTGAAGGCAGACACTTAACTGACTGAGCCACACAGGCGCCCCAGGAATTAACATTTCTAATGAGGTCCCAGGTAGGGCAGTGCTGCTCACACTTTGAGAACCTCTTTAGATGGGCTCCTTCCATTAAGGTAGCCTCAGCTTGCCGAGCTTCTTCATTCCACCAGTGACCTAAGCAGTCAACTAAAGTTCCCAGTCTTTGGGTAGCAGAAGAGGGAAAAGGAATTGGGAGGTGGGGCTGGAGAAAAGATTGCTAAACAGCCATTGACCCATCCCTCTTGACATCTTAGCAATGGAGGCTTTTGCCTTGGGCAGGTCCCTGACCCACCCCAGGGCTCAGCTGCTGTGTGTGAAATAGGAAAGTGGCCCCAGTCAGTTTCCAAGTATATTTATTCACTTGTTTGGAGATTTGATTGTCAATTTGTTTTTAGCCAAGGGCCTTTTTAAAATGAAATCCACATGGAACCGTGGTTCAAAAAACAGATGCCTTGGGGCGCCTGGGTGGCTCAGTCGTTGAGCGTCTGCCTTCGGCTGGAGTCATGATCCCAGGGTCCTGGGATCGAGCCCCACATCGGGCTCCCTGCTCTGCAGGAAGCCTGCTTCTCCCTCTCCCACTCCCCCTGCCTGTGTTCCCTCTTTCGCTGTGTCTCTCTCTGTCAAATAAATAAATAAAATCTTTAAAAAAAAAAAAAACAGATGCCTTGCTGGTCTGGTTGAAAGGGGGTCGAGCTCCCACTCTCAGCACCCCTCCTCCCAAGGCAGTGCTGAGTGTCTCCCATAGAAATGTAGCTGAACACACAGTTGAAACTTGCTGGAGGAACTTCCAGCTCAGCTTCTGTGATTTCTGAGAACCCCGCGAACTGTTCGTAGGCATGTGGGCTTTGTTTTCAGTTTTCTTTCCATCTCTGACCAATACATCTGGCATGCTAACTTTCAGAACTTTCTCCTCACAGCTCAGAGAGGTCTGTAGGAGAGGGAACGCCAAGGATTGTTATTATCATTAGAGCTGATGTAAGGATATTGAGCCGTTGTGGAAAATCTGCCAACACAAGGATCAGCCAGAGACTTAATAAACAGGCTTGGGAATGATTTTATTCTGGTGGCTTCTTGTTAGTGCTAATGTTGCAGCATGCCACATGCTCAGGGCCTTCGTAGCTAATTACATAGGAAATAGGACTATTGGATCTTGCATGCCACAGTGGCAAGAATAAGTCTGCAGGATTTTTAATGGGCAAGGTGATGTGGAAAGCCATTCTCATTTGCATGAACACAGGAAGATATTTAAACAGCTGTGTGGTGCAGTGTTACCTGGGGAAGGCTCTAACTGAGCCCCCGGGCCAAGTCTTTAGACTTGATTCTTGGCATGGGGAAGCATCTGGCACCTTCTGATGACCCCAGATACTGGAATGAAATTCCTTTAATTAGGGATTAATAGGCCCTTATAGGGCTTCCTAAGAGGCCCACCAGGATGGACTTACCTCCCAGACACAATAAATGCCTTCAGAGCCCAGCCCCTGGGAACTGCTCTCTTGTGACTGCTGTATATTCCCATATTCTTTCAGCCATCCAATTGCTTGTTCATACATTCCACATACAATGGCCGAATGTTCACCCTCTTTGGGACTGAGCCACTTGGACTATAGAAGTGACCAAGACCCAACTTCTGCTCCTGGGCTCAGAGCTCCTCAGGCCCAGCCCAGCTCTGCCACTCTCCACTGCACCTGGGAGTCTTGCCCTGCCTCTCATTTCTGCTTACCTGAAGCTTAGCCCAAATGCTCTTAAGTCTGTGAAATTTTCCCCTGTTCTCCCAAGTGAAAGTCAACTCCTATAGCCCTTTCTCCAGGCCACTGATTTGAGGTTCACTTACCTGCCCTGCCCAGTATGTAGCCATGAGCCACCTGGAAAGGTCTGAATTGAGATGAATACAAGTGTAAAATACATACTGGATTTCAAAGGCTTAGGGGATGCCTGGGTGGCTCAGGTTCATGATCCCAGGGTCCTGGGATCGAGCCCCAGGGAGCCTGCCTCTCCCTCTCCCTGCCTCCCCCTGCTTGTGCTCACTCTCTCTGTCTCTCCCTCTGACAAATAAATTAATAAAATCTTCAAAAAAGAAAAGGATTTCAAAGGCTTAGTACAAAAAAAAAGTATGTAAAATATCTCAGTGATTTTTTACACCGTGTATTGAAACGATAATATTTTAGATAGAATATACTGGGTTAAGTAAAATATATTATCAAAACTGATTCATCTGTTTTTTATTTTTATTTTTTTTGTGTGAATACTAGGAAATTTAAAGTTACACATGTGGCTCATATTTGTGGCTCCCATATTTCTCTTGGATGGAGCTACACTTACTGCTTTCTCCCTTGGGGGAAAGGACTGTCTGTCCATCTGTTTTCTCTCCCACTAGTTTCTGAGTACCAGGAGGGTGGACAGTGTGTACCTGTCATCCTTCTGACCTTTGCCCACCTGACTGGCATACGGCAGCTCTAACAAACATAGATTGAGGGAATTCATAAATGAGCAGATGATGACAGACAGAAGCTCCCGTAGATAGTGCAATTTACGGGTCTCTGTTACTCAACTTATTTTCCCTTTCCTTCGTTTTCACTGTTTTTATCTTTTTTTAAGGGCTCCCACAATCAGCAGAAGAAGATATTTTTCGTGGGAGATGGGCAAAAGCTGAAGGATTGGCATGACAAAGAAGCCATCAGGAGGGACGCCCAGCGCGTAGGTATGGAGAGCAGTATCGAGCACTCGAGGGTCCTGTGAAGGGCACGTATGCATGCGTGCACACACGTGTGCATGTTTAGCAGGCATGTCTGGACCTCCTTTTCACTCCCTCTCCATTTGCCGTCATCCCTTCCCCTGCTTCTTGGGGGTCTCCCTTTTCACCTGTTAGCTGATCCCTTTCTCCACTCACATCACCAGATCCACTGCCTTCAGGAGTTGTCCCCACCACCTTTATTGGGTGATAAACAATGTCTACCCCCTTATGAGATATTTTACCACTAAAATGGGGAGCAGTCATGGTAAGAGCCAACATTTATTAAACACCTGCAGTAAGCAAGGCCCATGCTCCCCACTTTGCACATTTTCTCAAGGAAACCCCGGGTCACCCTTTGTGGCCCATTTGATGAGAAGGAACCTGGAGCTCAGAGATGTGGGGTGATCTGCCTGCAGTCACACAGTGAGAAAGATGCAGGCTTGGGACTCGAACCCAGGTCTGGAGGACAGAGTTGAACCCTACCCAGCTCTGTAGCCACAAGGTTGAATGGACTTAGCAGGCTTCAGGTAAAGTTTTCTTTGGCTAATTAGTCTTTGGAGCAGTTCCTGTTACACTGGGGAGTTGGGAAGGGGTGGGGATGGATGGGGTTTATAGAAATTATGTGGAAAATCATCTCTAGAGAGCCTGGACTAGGAGTCAGGACGGCAGCTCTGGCACCGCTGACCAACCACGTGACCATCAGAGAGATCCCATGCTCCTGGAGCCTCGGTTTCCCCATGTGTCTATGGGGCTCATGCTTCCTGCTCAGACAACCTCAGGGTGTTGTTGTGAAGGTGACACAAATAAAGTGATGGGTATGAAGCAACTTTACAATACTGGAAAGCACCGTAGAAATATAGGGATTGGTATTTTATTCATTTTTATCTCAGTTAAAAGCACCCACCACTATTGATTTTTTTTTAGATTACATTATGAAAAAACCAGACTGCAACAGGGCTCTAATAGAGCTGATATAATAACCAGTGGTCAGGGAAGTCTAAAAACATGACATGCATTTTTCTGTAGGGCAGTGATTGAAAATGAAGTAGGGGTGGGTGCTGCTTAAACTGAGAAAGGAAACAGTTGAAAAAAGCTGATTTTCCAGGCAGTTATCATTACCAGAATTATTAGAACATGGAGCTAACTAGCAAGAAAAAGAGTAAGCAGTGGAGACATTATTAAGAATAATAATAATCAGCTTGCGTGGAGTGCTAACTCTGTACCAGGCATTTTGCCCTGCATTATCTCCTTAATCATTACATTGAACCTTCTTTTCCCCATTAATACATAGGGCAAAGCCCAATCACAGAAAGGCTAACGGCATGTCCAGGATAACACAAAGCAGCGAGTGCAGGTTTGGGCTTCAAGCTGCACTCTGCCACACTCTAGGGCCTGAACTCTGAGTCACTCCCCTATACTGCCTTCCTGAAACTTCCCTCCCCGTGCAGATGCTTCTGGCTCTCCTGTTTCTGCCGGCTGCATTTGTGTCCCTTGTGGAGTCTGTCCTGGGCATGAGCCAGCAGCGTCTTATCGTGGAGCCTTCCGAGTTACAGATGGCAGCGTCCTCTCTCTCATCTGGCTGGTTGGATGTAGTAATCTGCAACTGGAGAGAGTCTTGAAGAAATGGCCATAAAATCAGCTTGTTAAAAATCACCTCATCTTCCTGAGCAACACCCTATTTACTTTGCAAAGTACATGTTGACAACATCAGCTTGATGGGAAGCTGCATGCTGACAGGTGGGGCCAAGGGCTGTGCCTGCTTCCATCCGTTCAGAGAGTTGGTGTGACTGGCCCAAGGTTGATCAGCTCATATGAAGTAGATCTGGCCTCCTGTCCAGCTGATGGGATGCCATGGTCAGGGATGTCTCGGGCCCCTGGCAGAGTAGGGGAAGCATGGACTTTAGAGCCCACAAACCTGCTCTTATAACCTTCTTGAGTCCCAGTTTATCCACCCATAGAATGAAGGCTCGCATGTCCACCCTGATGGCTTGCTGTGGGAATGACGTGAGAGCCGGTCTGTAAAGTGTGTGACATGGGCATGGCCGAAAAAATGCTCGTTCCCCTCCCCTCTTTAGGCTCCCCCTGCAAAATCTGGAGGTCTACTCTGTATCCACGTATAAAGTTTGATCTCTGTGCTTTAATCAGATCTTTCATCCCCCTTCCCCCACTCCATTCAATTAGCAACATTGACTTTGCTCTTTGCTCCTAGGAAATGGAGAACAAGGGAGACCTTACCCCATGACCGACGCTGAGAGAGTGGATCAGGCGTACCGAGAAAATGGATTTAACATTTACGTCAGTGATAAAATCTCCCTGAATCGCTCTGTCCCTGATATTCGGCACCCAAAGTGAGTGTGACATCTCTCATCTTCTGGGATCTAAGGATTTTACCTGTGGCTCTTGATGAGAATTAATTAAAGAAACAGGTACATCAAGCGAGCTAGAGGAAATTCCCTTCTTGGTACACAGGGCCTTGGTGCAGAGGTTTATGGGATCAGATTCTCCTAGATTTAGAGGTGGGGTGGCAGAGGGATGAAAAAGAGCCGGCCTCCTTCCCCTTTGAAGGCAGTGGAAACCGTAGACTGTAGGACCTCTGCATTTCCCCTCTGCTCTGGCCTTCGGGGACTTTCAAACCTCATGCTCAGACAATTGCAGTGACAGTTTCAACCCTCATGCTCCCCACTTTCTGTGTGATACATTTTTATTTCCTTTTCTTAAAAAAGGGCTTTATTTTAGCTATCCTGTGCACCTATATGTTTATGTCTTTTTTTAATAAGCTGTCTCAAATCACTTTGAGATAGGACACATCACAGCAATGATAAAGAGGGTAAGAGTGGCAACTAACATTCCCTGAACAGTTATCATGCGTCATTTGCAGCATCTGAGGTTCCTGTGAGGTAGGTCCTATAATGGTACCCATTTTACAGCCAGGGAAACTGAGGCTTAAATGAGTGTCATAACTCATGGCCCCAAGGTGGCAAAGAAGCTGAGCCAGGTCTCCAACTCAACCAAAACCTATACTCTGGACCTTAAGCTGTCCTGCCTCCCTGGCCATTTTCAGGAGGCTTGTTGCAGTGGTCCTGGTGATTTTCTACTAGAGCAGGAGTTCTGAGAGTCGGTATGTAGTAGAGTCACCCAGAAGGATGTTAGAGCCCACGATATTGTGCCTCATCCCCGTAAATCCCAATTCACTAGATGTGGGTTGGGGCCCAAGACCCATTATAAGTAAGCTCCCATGTGGTGCTGGTGCAGCTTATCTCGGGTCCACACTTTGGGAACCTCCACAGATAGAATTCGAACTGACTTCTACAGGAAGGCAGTACCGAGTGGCATTGGAGCACGCAGGGTTTTGCTCAGCGGTTAAGAAAGTAGAGCCCAGGAAAAGATAATAGCAGCTAACACTGAGTTGGTGCTTACTGTATGCCAGGCTTGGTTCTCAGCCAGTGGTTCTCAAAATGTGGTTCCCAGGCCAGCAATGCCATGGGTCCCTAGGAGCGTATTAGATGTGCACATTCTCTGTTCCCAGCCTAGATCTACTGCATCAAAAGCTCTTGAGAGGGACCCAGCAATCAGTGTTTTAACAAGCCCTCCAGGTGATTCTGATGCAAAGCTTAAGTTTTAGAAGATGTTCTAGGTGCTTTAAGTGTTTTACCTCACTCAGCCAAACCTTCCAAAAACCCAACGAGGTACATACCTTTATTACAGATAAGGCCTGATAAGGTTAGGTGATTTGCATAAGATGGCTCAGTGGGTAAGTGGAGCCAGACCTTGAATGCGGGCAGTCTGACCTGGCATCCGTAATCCACAAGGTCTTTCCACCTGGAAGAACTCAATTGGTAGAATGTGGTAGAGGCACATCTCGGAGATATTGCAGGTTCTGTTCAGAATACCGCAGTAAAGCAAGTCAGATGAGTTTCTTGGTTTCCCTGTGCATATAAAAGTTACGTTTACACTATACTGTTGTCGATTAAGTGTGCAGTAACATTATGTCTAAAAAACATTTATACCTTAATTAAAAAACACATTATTGCTAAAAAATGCTAATCATCATCTAAGCTTTCAGTGGGTCATATTCTTTTTGCTGGTGGAGGGTCCTGCCTCGACATGGTGGCTGCTGACTGATCAGGGTGGCAGTTACCGAAGGCCAGGGTGACTGTGCCGATTTCCTAAAATAAAGCCACAATGAAGTTTGCTGCATCGATCAACTCCTCCTTTCAAGAAAGATTTCTCTATAGCATGTGATGCTGTTTGATAGCATTTACCCACAGGAGGACTTCTTTCAAAATCGGAATCAATCCTCTCAAACCCTGCCACTGCTTTATTAACTCAGTCTATGTAACATTCTAAATGCTTTGTTGTCATTTCAACAGTCTTCACAGCATCTTGACCAGGAGTTTCCATCTCAAGAAGCCACTTTTTTTGCTCACTCATAAGAAGCAGCTTCTAATCCATTAAAGTTTTATCATGAGATTGCAGCAATTCAAATATAATAATAATAATCATGAGAAAGTTAGAAATACTGTGAGAATTACCAGTATGTGACACACACACACACACATGAAGCGAGCAAATACTGTTAGAAAAATGGCACCAACAGACTTGCCCAGCACAGGGTTGACACAAACCTTCACTTCATAAAAAACACAGTATCTGAAAAACACAGTAAAGTGAAGTGACCATAACTAAATACTAATACCAATAGTAAAGAAATAATCTTGATAGCATGTATGAGCTACTTACAGAATGTTTTCTGCCCCATACCATCTTTCAGTTCCTGCAACAATACCTTGAGGTTGGCCTTATTATTATTATTATCCTCCCGACTTTGTAGATTAGGAAACCACCCAGCCAGGGATCTGTCCCCCAGAAGGTGTGCTGCTTAACCAGGATGGGCCCTATTCATAAGGACTTCTTGCCACAAGGGGAGGGAGCGTGGGGCCTCAGAGTGCTTGTCCGTGGCGTTTGCAATAATTTGTTTCATGGTCTTCACTGTCAAGCCCCAGATTTTTCATCTAAGCCTGAGAATGTAGTTCAGATATTACTGATGTTGCTGGATTCAGAACTGTGACCTGACTCTGAGGGTCAGAAACTCAATTTATGTGTTTAGCCCCTCGCAGAGTTCAGAATTCTGCACTAATTTCATCTTGCTGGCTCTAGAAAAGAAGTTCATCTGGGAGCACTGCACTCTGACTTCAGCTACTGTTCTATGCTACTGTGGGGGTCTCAACTCTGGCTGTACCTGGGGTGGTTTTAAAAACAGACAAAGGCCAGGGCCCCGCCCTAGACCACAGGCATCTGAGTCTCTGGGGTTGCATCTGGGGTCTCAGTAGCTTCTAAAACCTCGTAAAGCAATGCTCACTTATATAACTAGGGTTGAGAAACTGCTGGTGTAAAATAAGGAATATTTTTATAACGAGAGAGAGAAGCTAGGTGTGGTCACAGCCTTCATCCGTCCATTCATCTGTTTAGTCAGTAAATATATAGGAATGGTCTCCTGTGTGCCAAGCCTTGTGCCTGACACCAAGAACACAATGATAAATGAGCCATTATTGCTGCCTTGTGCAAGAGGTGGGGACAGATGGGCCAAGCAGGTCATTACACCACAGATGAGAAAACCAGTAATAAGAGTAGACACAGAGTACTTGCAACTCCAGAGGACACCCCCATCCAGCACCAGCCTTTGCGGGAAGACACTGAAGGTGGAGAAGTAGGCAAGAGATGCACGATCTCCAACTTACTGGTTAAAAGTTTGAGGCTCCCAGCTGATTAGAGGCCCCCAGATTGGGGCCTGGCACCCTGGTCTCCAGTGCACTGCTCTCTCCCAAAAGCTCAGGAAAAGAAATGTCTTCTTAATCTAGGAGTCCTGGGGCCTACAGGCAGGTCTGTACACCTGAATGAGGTAAAACGTTGCGTTTTTCTTTTCATTAGCCTCTCGCTGAAATGCCATGTTCCTTGCCGTTATGACCGTAGGCAACAAAGCACCTGGGTTGGTGTTCGCCAAAAGAGATCCTTTACTTTTACATCACTTTACGGATGTCTAGAAATGTCATGAATACTCATCCCTGCTTTGAAATGAAGGTAGTTTTTAGAACTGCCACTACATTGTGTTGTTTAATGTGTCCGTAAGGAAATACTTCTATTAATTTTATATTGTTTATTATTTTGATAACTGTATCTCAGTCCAATTGGTTTCCTTTATAATCTGATCTATTTTATTTTATGCATTGTAAAGGCAGCTCTGAGAAGTGGCCACAGGCTTCAGCAGCCTGGCAGAGGGGTCCGGGGCATCAGTAAGGTGAGGAACCACTGTTCTAGGTGGCTGTGAATTGAGCCTAAGGATGCCTCAGGCCCCTGTTGCCGGCCTACCCAGCCAGCCTCCAAGTCACCATGAAGGATGTTGCTAAACCCAGTGCTCTGGACATCCCCCACCCCCCGCCCAACACACACTTTTTAGAATTCCCAGTGTGGAAGCTCACTTTCCAGAAATGAGTTGACAGATGTCTTGAAGAGCTTTTTTTTTCCCTGGGGCTGGGGAGGCGTTTGGTGGATCTTTCCTGCAGACAGCAGAAATGTGTGAGGAAATCAGAGCAGTGGAGACACTCTCTCCCTTCGGTTTCTTTGAGCTCAAACAACTTCTCTAGCAGGAGCTGAGGTAATGTTTGCCTTTTACTTCTTCAACTGAATTTTGACACTAGCGTGCCAAGGACAGGATTGAGGGGCTGTTTGTGCCGGCTGCATTTGCTTCCACCAGAAGTTGCACCAGGGACCATGGAGCCACAGAGAACGGAAACCGGGCAGTTGGGCCTGACTTGCTGGGCTTGCATGTGGGAGGTGGCCAGCTGGCTCTGAGGGGACCTGACCTCTGCACCACAACCCCCCCTGTCCCCCGCTGAGGGAGCCGAACAGAGGCTGGCTGGTGTGCTGGCCTGCTTTCCCTGCTACCCTCCCCGGGGGAGGGGGGCCTTGCTCGGCAGCCGTGCATGGGGGCCCCTCCAGGGCACAGAGCTGATGGCAACAGCCCCAGCTGCTTAAGTACCTAGGGTCTGAAGGTCCCTGTGCAAACTTCTCCTCTGAGAAAATGGTCATTTTCTCCCATGCAAAGAGTATCCATGGTGGGACTGAAAGCAGTCAACATTCATGGTAGGAATGAAAACTATCTACAATCCTGACCTGCTTTCTCCAGTCCATTGGTTTAGCTTTCAGTAAATGAATGAACCTGAATGGAATCTTTGTTGCAAATCTACCAGATTCTTGGTTCCATGCTTCTTTTTGCTTGTTGCTTTTTGCTAAATTAACTCTCTTGATTTATGGTATATACTGAATTTCCTCAAAAGAACTTAGAAGTTCA